TAATCCCAGGACGACCACCTGCTTTCCGCATAGCTTGGAGTCACCACATTTGAACTTCTGTGGCCACAAGGGGATTTTTAATCCTCCTTGAATTTGAACATGAGACCTTCAGACACTTTTGAACTTTAGAGCCCATGTTCAAAGACACCACCCTTATGGTTATGTTTTTTCATTTTGAGACAGGTGATTTTTATCCGGAGTTTGCAAAACACCCCATTGCAAGAGCATTGAATGTTACCTATTTTTATCGGAGAAATGGTCTATTTTTTTTTTGCGAACTCAATATTTTGTGAGTTCTTTCTTATTTTGCATTATCTTTTATTTTGGCCCATCACGCGGTGGTTAAACTCTACCGCAATGACAATACTGTAAGGGAAGTCCTGCGGAAAAATATGTCGTCGCCATATGAAATATGAATATCAGGTAATAGGGTTTGACATGAATCGGATAATATCCATATATCTCTGACTCAAATTTATGCCCCTTTAAGATCAAACAATTCCATCGAATTGAGTACGGTTGTATGTGTGATAACATCTACTATAAATACGAGGGATGAAAACAACAAAGAATTGTAAATCAAATGGATGAAAACAATAATAAATTGTAAACCGTAAGAATGAAAACAATAATGAATTACCACAAGGGCTGAAGCATAGTGGTTGAGATCCCGGGATATATGGTGGAATATACCATCTCTTCAAGATTTGATTCCAGACGTACGTAACAATTGTGACGACTGAGTTTATCAGAGCTGATTTCTTGCAACCATAATTTGCCGGAATTAGTCTTAAAAAAACAGTGATGAATTGTAAACTATATGGATGAACATCGTAATTTCAAAAGCAATGAGACAAAGACAGTGATTTCCAGCAAACCACACATCAACGAACAACGCAATTTACTCAACGTTATATCCAGAATCGTCCCAATCTTTTTGAATGTTCTGTTACATCTGTTAGAACCGTACTAAAACTATTCCTGTTAAAAACATCTCTTTACCGAGATAGGTTCCTATCCCAAATCTGTATAAATCATACTCGAATACAAGTAAAATTCCTGTTACAAAAAATCCATATTTAACATGTTAATAGATGATAGATAACGTACGTGACTGATTTAACGTAAATGGAGCAACCAGGTTGACCAAGTCAATGATCACGTGCATCACATTTTTCATGTTACAAGTTATTCCCCCCTACAAAATTGGATCCCGTGGCTATTATTGGGTGCCACCTTCTACCTTTTGTGCTAATCCCTTTTTTTCTTCTTTCAAATAATTGATTTCCATTTACATTTATAAGATGTAAAATTTTATAATAATAAATAATATTATTTTAAAAAAAATTACTTATAATTTAAAATTTTAAGTAATAAGCATTAATAAATAGTACTTCATGCATAAAAAATGCTTTAAAGAGTTTTTATCAAATGTTTTATAATATAGTATAGGTAAATTGTAAACTTTAAATTCAAGAAATTATACATCAATAAACAGTATTGCGAATATATATTATTTCATGTATTGTTTAACAGAGGTTTTATTAAATTATATAAATATAAATAAATATTTTTAAGACATAAAAACATTTTTTTTAAAGAAGAAGATATCTCCAAGAAAATTTATTAAGTAAAAAAAACAATAATTTTATTTACCATTTACCTTAGCAACGACGTCGCATTTAAATATTAAAATATAAAAAGTAAATTACGTTTTTCATCCTTGTGGTTTGTTAAAAAATTCTGTTTATGTCCTTAGTCTTTCATTTATTACATTATTGGTCATTGTGGTTTGCATTATATTTCTATTTTCGTCCTTGGCACTGACGTCGTTGTTGTGTTCCAGATAAAACACATCATGAGGGGCATTTTATTCTCTTCAAATTTCTCGCTTTTAACTACATCCATTATATTTCACTTTCATCTTGGGTAAAAACTAGGGTTTCTGGAGGCATCTTTTCAACAACAAAAACTCAGTACGTCTCTACCCACGTTCCACTACAGCAGTGCCAAGCACGGAAATAGAAATATCATGCAAACTAATGACCAAAAATGCAATAAATAAAGACTAGGGACGAAAATAGAAATTTGTAGCAAACCACGGGGACTAAAAAGTAATTTAGTCAAATATAAAAGAATAATGAAAATAGAAAGGGACATAGTATGTGAAATTGAATTCTTATCCCATTGGACAATAACATGCTTCCAACTTCTATCATCTATTAATTTCACATCTTCCATCTTAAATACCAAAACATTTATGGTTTTATTGGTTCACACATGAGAATCAAAATGGTTTATTGGTATATATAAAAAAATAAAAATAAAAAATAAAAAAATGAAAATAAAAATGAGAATAAAATTTCATTCGTCACAGTTTAATTTGGACTAAAAAATTTAGATTTTTGGGTGTACAAATTCATCAGATTATATAAAACTAAACAATTTTTTTTTTATTTTTAAATTCAATAATTACAAGTTAATATATTTTTTAATCTTAAAATTAGGGAAAACCGGTTAATTTGGTTTGGAAGATTGTTTTTAAGGGATTTAGATTTGATGAAGGGATTTGGATTTGAATGAATTTGAAATCATTAGTGTGTTTGGTTTGTAGGATTTGGATTCTATTATTTATAAATATATATATATGGAAGTATCCTTATACTGTATTAAGATGCGTATATGCGACGTTTTCCCATAAATCTGTGAAAGTATACAATTAGGTATTATAATATTTAATATATACGCACGATATAAATATACATTCACCACTTCTCACGTTTCTTACCAAAAACACAGGAGTGGACCAATGTGTCTCCAAATGGGTTCCCATTGCTCAAGGATATTTTTTTGAGAGGTGCTCAGGGATTTTTTTTTTTGATTAACCTGAATATCCAACCCGCTATGCGAGTCGACTAATCTCAGGGTGACCATCTGCTTTGCAGATAGTCCAGAGTCATCGCATTTGAACTTCCGTGGCCACAAGGGGATCGCTATGCGAGCCGACTAATCTCAGGGCGACCACTTGCTTTGTAAATAGCCCGGAGTTACTGCATTGAACCTCAATGACCACAAATGGATTTTTATTTCTCCTTGGATTTGAACATGAGACCTTCAGATACTTTTGACCTTTGGAGACAATCTCAAACCAATCAGGCACCACCATTGTGGTTGTGCTCAGGGATATTAGAAAGTATAAGAAGCATCAAATAAAAAACTGAAAAAAGTATCCCGAAATCAATAGAAAAACCGAAAAAAAAAAAAAAACCCCGAAAAATTCCACTGAAATCAACCAAAACACTTAAAAAAAAATTCAAAATCAACAAAAAAAACTTAAAAAATTCCGCGAATGTTAAAAACTTTTTTTCACGTGATCCCAACCAAATTAACAAATGTAAGTTAATTATGTAAAATAAATAAATAAAATGATTAGTAATAAACATAAAGTGACTCCTTTTCTTGAGATTTGAACAATGGAACACAAACAAGTGCATTAAAATGACCTTTTTAGCCCCCGTTGTTGTATTATGTTCGGGCCAGTAGGGTCGTGGCCAATTGGCATTTTCGTCTTCTTGCTATTATAATATGTAAAAAGGTAAAATACGATTTATAATTTTTTTTATAAATTAAATTAAGACTAAACTTTAAATTTGGTTCCTGTGGTTTATCAAAATTACACTTTTTGTCTACGTGGTTTCGTAATTACAAGATAACCATCATGGTTTGTAAAAATGTATGAATTTGATCCCTCTTCTAACGACCATTAAAGGATGGTGTTAAGAGGCATTTTCGTTTTTTTATTGATTTTTTGTCTTTTACCCAGTCAAAAACCACAATGACCAAATCATAAAATCGGTTTCGATTGGCTAAAAGTAAAGGTTTTAATGACGTGAGGCATAACATGACAACAAGACCAGTCTCAAGCCTTAGAAGTCACGACGAGGCCACATCGTTTTTTTATCTATATCATATATAATATTGTGTGTGTATCTATAGATACATAAACATATGTTTTATATTATTACTAGCAAAGACAGACCTATGATTTTTTTTTCCAAATGATAACATCATTTGACTATAAGAAATAAATAAATAAATAAATATATATATAAAATTTTCACAAAATCATCATTAGTTTATTGATTAGTTCATTGTTTATCATGAGTGAAGTCCTGGGTTGAAGTCTTTTTATTGCAATTTTTTTTCTTCCAGAAACATAATAAATCTGAAATTAAAAGCTAAAAACTAAAAAAATTAGACTAACAAGATACAGACTCGGGTATGGGGTGGAAGAAAAGCATTACAAACCAACTCTACCAAGAGAATTTATTTTATCATTGTAGTTTCAAAATATACACGGTGACACACAACAAATTGATACGGTGACCTTTTTCACGACGCTATAATTTTTTACATTACGACAGAGGAACGAAGCGGTAGCCCGTGCCACCGTATCTAATACAGTGGTTATGTCCCTAATCACTAAATGATTCAATGATAATAAACAACTTAAATTAAGTTATAGATTAAAAGCTAACGAATAAGACATTAGAAAGGTAAGAAAATCAAATATAATGTTACAAAAACCATGCATTAGACCATGACGTGCCACAAAATTAACGTGTTATGAGACACAACCTTGAGCCACGATGCGTCAATCTTTAGAATATTGGTTAAAAGACAAAAAAATAATGAAAATGCCCCTCACGTAACGTAAATTTTTTAACAATCGTAAAGAGAAGGACCATATTCGAACGTTTTTGCAAATCACGATAACCAAATTTAATTTCAAAACTCCAGTGACTAAAAGTGTTATTTTGACAAACCACAGGGACTAAATTTATAGTTTAATCTTAAATTAGTTAAATATTGTTCAGAAATTCTGAAAATTATACAAATATCCATTCTGATGTTCCACCCCCACGTTCTCCCTCTCTCTCTCTCTCTCTCCGTTTATAAGCAAGCCATTTCGTGTACTTCCAGTAAACACTTGACCCAATCCGATTTGACTCGCCACCGCCACTGCCACCGCCTCCGCCGCTACAAAACGGTGGCGCTACCTCTCCGCACCACTTTTCAGCACCAGCTTATTATATACTCGGCGGCAGCTCAGGAAGAATGTCTCTTTCTAAACGAGTTTCCTTAGCTCCCCAATCACCGGCACAGCCTCAACAAGATCTCAAGCACCGAGTGATCACGTGCCTCAACAAGCTCTCTGACCGGGATACGCTTGCCGTCGCTGCGGCGGAGCTAGAATCCATCGCTCTCAGCCTCAATCATGACTCCTTTGCGCCGTTCCTCACTTACCTCTCCGCCACGTCGTCGTCTGACAAGTCTCCGGTACGGAGGCAATGCGTCCGTATCTTAGGAGTTCTCTCGGTTACTCACGGTGATGCTCTCTCACCTCACATTTTTAAAATGCTATCTGCCGTAGTTCGCCGTCTCCGCGACCCTGACTCCGCTGTCCGGTCTGCCTGTGTCGGAGCTGTGTCCTCCATTGCATCGGAAATCACTAAACCGTCCTTCTCTTCGTTGTCGAAACCGTTGGTGGAAGCTGTTCTGACAGAACAGGATCAGAACTCTCAGATCGGTTCCGCTTTGTGTCTGTCGGCAGCGATAGAGGCGTCGCCGGATCCTGAACCGGCGCAGTTGCAAAAGCTATTGCCTAGGGTTTTGAAATTGATTAAATCCGATAGCTTTAAAGCTAAACCGGCATTGTTATCGGTTATCGGCAGCATTGCTGGAGCTGGTGGCGCGGCTTTTAACCGGAATTCTCTAAATTCCTTGATTCCGTGCTTGGTTGACTTTCTGAGTAGTGACGATTGGGCGGCTAGGAAGGCGGCAGTTGAGGCGTTGGGAAGGTTGGCGGTTGCGGAGAAACTTCAATTGACGGCATTCAGGTCTTCGTGTCTTGCGTCTCTAGAGAATAAGAGATTTGATAAGGTATCAACCAGCAATCATATTGTTTCAATTTGAAGTGAATATTCCATATACGGTCTCTGTAATTACTTTGGGCACAATCACATAGGGGAGACCGCAAATTAGTGAATTACTCCTTTCTTTCAAGCGGGGTGATTTTGTTGGTGGTTGAACGACAAATTTACCTCACGACTCATCGCTTGAATTTGATTTCGAATGTACAGGTGAAGGTAGTCCGTGAGTCGATGAACCGGGCACTAGAATTGTGGAAGGAGATTCCAGGGCACCTAGATGAGGTCCCTGTTTCACCTCAATTGGATGACATTTCATCTTCTAAAGGTAACCGTATTTGGGAACAAACCTTCAGACTTGTAAAACATTGGTGAAACATTAATTAGTTGTTGTTACCTTTTTGTTATGTGTTTGTATTATGTTCATTTTGTTCACAATTTGAGTTGTAAAGACCCAATAATGTCAAACGCTAAGTTAGGCAAATTGAACTCATCAGATATTAGCAAACAATAATTAAAGTTGGAACATGAAACGTTTTGTTATGTTTCAATTTGTTTTTTTCATTTTGTAATTTGCGAGTTTTTTAGACTATTCCTATACGTTGGAGGGCAATGGTGACACTTCTTGATTAAATGAATGACATGATGCATCCCATGTTTGATAATATTTGGACACTTTCTTGTTGGCATGCCCTTCATTCCTTCAATTTTCATTTTATAATGTTTCTTGTGCAACATCTTTCATAGTCGAACCAATTTAGTTAAAGGGCACCTAAGTTAATTCAAGTTATAGTAATTGTTAATTGCTACAGTTAATGTAGTTGGTGAATATTTCTTAAAATCATCAAGTTTGCATCTGGAAGGTAGTGAGTTTGAAATCAAAGTAAATTAAATGTGGTTCCCTTTTGGGAATTAAGGAGTAGCATTTAAGTTCAAGTATTACATGTCATCTTCTACATCATCGTCATTTAAGAACAGTTGCTAGGGCACTACTGTAACTCTGTCGAAATGATTGTCCACATTGCTACCCAGTCTTTTCGTTTCAATAGCTGATGGACTATTTTTGATTTCTCATGGATCCAGATAACGGCGTTGGGAGATCCCCAGCTATTTGCCCAAACAGTCCTCCTGCTGCTGCTTTGGAGACTACATCAAAGGAAAAAGTTCCCAGTAGTATGTATTCTCCAATTCAACGTTCATCTCCGACTACAACACAAAGTAGAAGTCCTTCAAAGAACAACTACAGGAAACAGAGTGCTTTAATTGCCAGAAAGATGGATTTTGACAAAGAAACTGATTCGAAGGTTAATGTTCCTGTACCCAAGCCTGCAGCTGTAGAGGTAGATTATAAAGAAAGTTTTGTGAGGGAAAAGTTGGAGGCTCCTGATACAGTGGATACTGACAAAAGGGTCATTTTAGAAATGGAAAAAAGAGTCACAGAACAGGTAATATCTAATAAAACAAGAGATGGCAACTTTGGGAAACTGGATGGTTTAAGATTTGGTTCTCGTGTGGTTCCATTTATTGACGACTGTGAGTTGGACATGGACATAAACGGCAATGCAATTGAATATGTTTATGGGAACCAGAAAGAGGTTGAGGATTTATCTCTGATCCAAAAACAGCTTCTTCAGATTGAAAACCAGCAATCAAATCTCTTAAATCTTTTACAGGTGCTTTGACATGATACCCTTTTGTATTTTGTTTTAATACTTTTCTTCTTGTCATTTACAATTCTGTGTCATTGATTTCAGAAATTCATGGGAAGTTCTCGTAGTGGGATGAATTCTTTGGAGACGCGAGTGAACGGCCTAGAGAAGGCATTGGATGAGATCTCATATGATTTGGCTATATCAACTGGAAGAGTTTCAAGTAACGACTCTTGTTGCATGGGTACTGAATTTCTGAGTCCTAAATTTTGGTGGAGAACAGAAGGGCAATATCCTAGTCCAAGATCACCTTTCCGTGGGAGTCACCAATCAAACTCTGATCGATGTTTACCAAATAAAGACTTCAATTCCAACATAACTAATCTGGGTAGTCCAACAGCGAACAAGATTGGTTCAGGCAGGGTTGGAAATCCAGGTAGAAGCTTAGAATCATTATTGAGTGCTAGAAAGAAGAAAGCTGCGCAGGTCCAATATCATAACAATGACAGGTTTGATAGAGGCAATTTGGCCAATTACATGCAGCAAAGAATCTAAATACAGGTATTTCAACCATCTCTAGTAACTATTACTGTACTAGGTCCTTTCTTTTTTCTATATTTGCCTTTGTCTAGTGACCGCTGGTTAATAAAGACCGCTTTTGGTGATTGTGAAAGATAAAAAACTCACAATCTGTAAATAGAATTTCTTTTTCCGCTTTCACTCTGACTGGTTTTGTTCGATAGTTTTCTAGAGTATCAATATATGGATGCTTCTAGAGTATCAAACTATCAATATATGATGCCCAAGAACAATTCGTAGGCCGTTTTAAAGCGAAACTAAAAGTTCAAGCGCTGGAAAGACACAGCACATGCAAGAAACATAGACATAAAATAACCTTTTGAGGAATTTTCAGTTGGTAGACATTAGAGACTAGCCATATGGGCAATGCTACTTTTGTAATGTTTATGGGCTGTTTGATTCAGACTGAGGAATGAAAATGACAGGGAATGAGTATGGGAATGAATTTTCTATTCCCCACATTATTATCCCGGAATGAAAATTTAGGCTTCCAGGGGAAAACAAACATGTTTACATGATTCCATGATTGCCTACATCCACGATTATTGCTAGGATTCTTTATTGTATGTTGTGGAATTTCTTTACACTTTGTTCTCAAAAACTTTTTCTAAGGAAAAGAAAGGATAGGGAAGGGAAAGAGGGAGAAAACAAAAAAACCGCTCTAAACTTGTTAGGAGAAAATATCATTTATGTTTCCTCCCAAATGTGGGAAGGAAGGCCGGGAAAGAAAATATGAAAGGAGTCTGTAATCATTTACGACAAAAATACATTCAATAAAGAAAAATATGAAAAACAAATATCAAGGGTATATTTGTTAAAAGGCCACCATCTATATTGTATTGACAACTAGAGTCAAGTTCTTACGATAACAGTAACCAAATAAGAAAATAAGAAAACAGTCAAATCACATATGATTTGACTGTTTTATCACGTGTAAAATCACAAGTGATTCATGCTACTTGCCCGACCACGTCTCCGGCGCACCTTGCTGTCGAGCGTTAGTGTAAAATCACGTGATTTTGCACCCAATTTGGTTGTTTTTGTGTTCTCTTATTTGGTTACTGTTCTCATTTGAACCTCCCTCTTGACAACTAAGTTACATAATGGAAACTAGAATTAATCGATGCCAAAATTCAATGTTTTAACCCTCTTCTCCTTTCGTCTCAGGTCTATCTACGCTCGTAGCAGTTCATTTTATCATATACCACGAGTCATCCACACTTGAAAGTTGAAAGAACAAACTCGACATCATTTCCCGAAGTTTTTGTTAATTTTAGCAGGATGCATCCCCTGCTACACTTATGATATGCCAAATAATATCGAAAGTTGTTCATTTCAGGTATGTTATACACGTTAGGTTCCATCTCGCATGGTCATTTGAGATTAAGTACAGAGAATCCCCCCTTCCCCCCTTCTTTTCTTTTTCCCAATATACACGGCTTTTGGCTATTGTGTACATGATTCAGGCGTTCACAACGTTAAGCTTATATTGTTTCGGGGGTTCTGCTTGTGTGCCAAAAATGCAAATGGAAAGTGAAAACTTTACCCCCGATTGTTACAGTGTGCTGTTTTCCTATTGCTTATCTGGTCAGGTAAGCTGCATGAAAGAAAAAAGTATTTTATGTCTTTTTCGTATCTTCATTTGTACTCTCTGCATTAAAAAGTGTACATTTTGATGTTCAAACCATGTGGGTTTGCTACCCAAAATTATGTTCTATATTCCATGGTTGGGTTCTCGTGAGACCTGACTATTTGTGTGAGACCTGTGAGACCATGAAATAACATTGAATCTTCACAGCGGAATCCTGTGAAGGTACAAAAAACTCCGAACCTTCACACATTTTTGTTGTGAAGGTTCACAATGTTTTGTTGTGAAGGTTGTGTTATTTAGTGGTCTCATGGATCTTATCAAAACAAGTTGGTCTCACATGATCCATTCTAAAGTATATAGAGCATTACTTTTGGTCATTCTGAATGATCAACTGATTTAACTATCAAATTGCAGCTTTGTTACAATTAGAGATGGACGCAAAGCCCAAGTACGATGCCTGGCCCAGGCCTAGACCAGGCCCTGCTTGAAAATTCCCGGGTCTAGCAAGTCTGTCTGAAGCTCGGTCCGGGCTAGGCTAGGCATCGAAGCCCGATCAGGCTGAAATTTTGGGGTCAACCCGGGCTCAGATGTGGCCCGAAAAAGCTCGATCAAGCCCCTTTTGTTCTCTCAGAGAAAGGGCTTAGAACCATCAAGGATCTTTTTTATCAGTCACTAAACTATGTCAAAAGTTGTAACTTACGTAAAAGCAGAAACTGGAGTTAAAAAGAACTTGGCGACCCAGCCCATAAACACAAGCTGGACGTCATTGTTTTCTAATCAGAATTCAGGCCTGTTAACAATTTGGCTCATGCCCATTTACGCATTTCTTTCCCATTAAAGGTCTGTTTCTTAGCAGTTTAATGAGTATAATGAGACTCACAATTTATTCGTTTAATTATACATGACTATGATAGCAAAAGTGACTTATTCGATAAGTTTCTAGGAGGAGTTTTGTGCAAAAAGTCATGATTTTCCAAACTTGTCTCTCCCAATTAAAAACCAAACTCCTTCCATCTATGGAAAAACCCCTCTCAAACACAAACATTTCTAATGTATACAGTCGGATTAATCAACACATACAACTTTATCTACATCTATACTATATTATAAAACATTTGACAAAAACTCTTAAAAACTATTTTTATGTATAAAATACTTTTTATTGATGCATATTACTTAAAATTCAAGATTACAAGTGATTTTACGTAAGTACAACTTATTAAAGCTTTAATTTAAATTTGTGTAATTAACTGCAGATAAATATAATCAAATACAAGATACACATCTATTTTAAATATAGAAAATCTAAAATATAATTAAAATAATCATTGAGTTTTTAACTGAATGTTTAATTATTATCTTTAATAAAAATTATATTATTAAACCAAAAATAAATTACTTTGTTATTACATTAAAATTAAATTATAATAAAAAATTGAATTAAAGAAGTTACATTAAAAAAATGAAAACTATTAAATAGTTAATTTGATACTAATATCGATTTTATTTTTTTAATTTTTTATACTATCTTCAAATTTATATTTCATTCAAAAATAAAAACGTTATCACTTTCTTAAAACCACATGAAATCGTATTATATCGATAGAGAAATAATAAAAACTAAACATTAAAATGGAGATTTATCTCGCTGCATTGCGTGAGTATTCTTCTAGTAGGACTTAATGGAAAACCAATCAAACAATCCTTAAAAATCTTTGTTAAGAAAACGATTCTCTCTTTGCTTGGTTCTTGGACATTGAATATCTAAACTTTCTAAAACAAATTCATATTCAATTAACTAGATACCAATAATCACCATCGATCACTCTATGCCATTCACGGTTGTTCGGGGTTTATTCAATGTGCCTAAACTAGTTCAAAAACCCACGGTTTACACACATATAATGTTTATTCTGAATTTGAAAAGATCAGTTATAAAAACAACACTTTACCTAATGAAAATAGGTGAATTCAAACTTTCAAAGGCCTCCAACACGAAGTGGACATAAAGAAAAAGTGCAAGTGACAAACACGTGCTCTAATTGTTTTTTTTAATTAATGGGTATTTATTTAATATAAGAAATTATTTATTTAATCAAATTAAAAAACTAGTTGACGTTATGTTGAATTATATCCATCCTCCTTCCTACAGAGGTATGTGAACAAAAAGGAACAAAAAATAGGTGTATGTGCGTGAAAGAGAGTATAAATAACAACCCTTTTAAGTTCGTTTTACCAAGATCTTAAGGAGCGTTTGGTTTAGGCAGATGAATGAAAATGAGTATGAAAATGACAGGGAACTTAACTTAATCTGGAATGAAAATTTGAGCTTTTAGGAGAATAGATCCATTATATCATAAAAACCAAACAATTTCTTTTATTTTCATTCCTATTAATTACTGTTTAATACCTCTTACCAAACACCACACAATCATTTTCTGTTTGTTCTCCACGTCTCTGGGATTAGTCTAGGTGCACATAAGTTGACACGGACACCCAAATTAAAAAAAAACATGTGATGACGTAAATGATGATTTGGGTAGTGGGGGGACAACAACGTAACCAAGAGCGTCGTATGATTAACAAAATTAATTTAGATAACTTAGAGTTCTTTCACCACATGCTTATTCGGTAAGTTTTTACCAAGTCACATCACCTTACCGGATGAAATAACAAAAACTGAGAATCTTACCTGGTAATAGCGATAGTAAGAACCGAGATCTTACCCAGTAAGTAAATATGCCAACTATTGCCGAGTTAGCCCTTACCGGGTATATTGTCATATACGATGCCACTAAAATTTTACCAGTAAGATACTTGATAGTATTGAATCTTATTGGTAAGTGCGTTTACTCAAACGATCCCTTAATATAACTATTATAATCATAAAAATAAAACACATGACAAAAACCCATAAAACATCAACCATTTTATATGATCTTTTTGTACCATAAGATTTCAACTTTTAATCTTTTTAATAAAGCAAAGTTAGGTGCAATAAAAGATGTGCAAGGCTTTATTGTGACTTTTTGATGTGTGATATGGTAAAGTGTGGGATAGATTTGGGAAAAAACAATCCTCTTTCTTATTCTTAACGTGGTTGATCTTCTATTTTTCTTTTTTCTTTTTCGGTTTATAAATTGAAAACGAAAATAAAAATACAAGAAAAATGTATTTCTATTGAAAAAAAGCCAAAATTATAAATAGATTGTTTTTAAATCCCTGAAAACAAAAACGAAAATACTTTTTGGCAAAAACGTCTGATATTTCATGTGTTATTGTAAGTGTGTTGGTCTTCAGGAAAATAGTGTATTTATTTCGTGGGGGTATAGGAAAGATGTATGTGGGATTTATTGAAGTTGAATGTATCTGGTTTTGTTTGCTTTGATTGTCATTAGGGCTGTAAACGAACTGAATGTTCAGCGAACCGTTCGACGGAAAGTTCGTTTGTTTAATAAATGAATGAACATGAACAATTTTTTTTGTTTGTTTAGTTAAATGAACGAATATAAAGAAGAGTCTCGTTTGTTCATTTATGTTCATGAATGTTCGTTCATTTACGTTCGTTTGCGTTCGTTTATATATTAAATTTAATATATAATCTTTTATTTATTTTGTTTGAATTTAAATAATATTTATTTAAGTTTTTAACTTTTTAGAATTTATTTAGATTTAAATTTTATCATCATTTTGTCTTATTTGATATCTTTTCACTTTTCACTTTTCACTGTTCGTTTATGTTCGTTTAACCCGTTCGTTTATGTTTGTTTGTTTACGTTCATTTAGCATGTTAACAAACGATCATAAACGAACACAAACACAAACGCACCGGATTTTTAAACGAAAGAACATGAATACAAAGGTTCTCTTTCGTATTCGTTCGTTTGTTCGATTAAGTTAAACGAACGAACATGAACAGAGACTTGTTCATGTTCGTTCGATTCGTTTAGAATCCTAATTGTCATGTAGTATCTTAGTCTATGTTGACAGTCATAAACTACTTTATTCTTTTTAGCTTAAAAACCCCTTGCAGTAAGCCATGAACTAGTTTTTTGAAAAACTATTTCAGATAGTTTATTGAAGTTCTTTTTATTATTTTTTTTCTTCCAATTATGCCCTTTGTATTTACATAAGTGTCCCTTATATCTTTCTAAGTCATTTTACATTATCATCTAACTTATCAACTAGTATTTTTTTTTCAAATGTTATCAGTTTATCAACTACATACTCAAGCAACAGTTAGTTTATCAACCATAATCTTAAAAGTTAAAATCAAGATCATTCCACTGCAATCTTTTCACTATGATTACCCTGATACAGTTATATTTAATATATAAAAGAACCAGACAAACACATGTTTAATCTGTTAAAATCGACATCCCGTTTATCTTAATCATGTCAGCTAATAGAACACCAGCTAACAGTCCAAGAAAATGACATTCACATATACGACGCAGAACATGAATCCAACTAAGCTGACTAATTAACAACACATAACACAACAGAAAAAAAAGTCACGTCATAAAATTTTCAAAAACAATCATTATAAAACATATAACACGATTAAGCCATTCAAGATTTGAGTATTTAAACCCATTAATGGCTTAATACAAAATATATGATTGTGGTAATGGGGACAAGACTCACATGAACCATTCACTGAACCATCAAAATCATGGTCTAAAATCAAAGATTGGAAAAAATTTGATATGGCCAAAAAAGGGTGGGAGATGTATAGTTTAAGATGGGCTTATTGGATGGTGGGGTTAATGTGCCCCATATCCTCACAAATCACACCCACCCATTAAGTCACATTAATAATTAAGACAAAAATGAGATTATATCTATACTATATTACAAAGCATTTGATAAAAACTTTTAAAAATCATTTTTTATGTGTAAAGTACCGTTTATTAATGCATATTACTTAAAACTCAAGATTGCAAGTAGATTGCGCGTAAGTACAAGTTATTAAAGTTCCATATCTAAATCCGTGTAACTAACTGCAGATAAACATAATCATTTACATGATAAACATTTCATT